AATTTTGAAAATGTAAGGATAAAAGTCCACACATCAGTAGACCCATAATACGGCATGCATCCGGATCTGACAGCACTTTTTTTCACACTATTATATAAAAAACATACTTCGGTACAATAATTCAATCATTATGTCTTTGTGGAATCATCAAAGACACATATAACAATTATGCTTTACAGATTGTTCCCTTAGATTGTGTTGATAAAGCCGGCCATTATATTTTTCAGCTCATTAATCTATTGTACGTGCCCCCAGGTACTTTACACTGTCTTGCGCCATAAAAATTACCGGTATAGTATACCAGTAAAATATAAAAAAAAAAACTTTGAAAGTTGAGTGAGTGAGTGAAAGTTGAGTGTTTTATAATAACTATAATAATGTAATTTTCGTTCGGTGGAAGAACTATTCCATGTTGTTCTTAGTCATATATTAGTGGTTGTATGATTTCAGAATAAATGCTGTGTGATAATCTTGGCTGTGATGTTAAGCTTATTATAAATTTAAAGAGACAAAAAAAAAGAACGTCTTCATGTTTTAAATCTTTTAACAGCATTACATCCCATTAATATTGAACGTATACATTGGCTTTGGCAGTAATATATTTTGTTAAGCATTTGTTGGAATTTATTTAGAAAATATCCTTAGCTTTTTTTTTTGTTAAAATTTAAATGTCCAGTGTATTATTTATCTTGGACACATAGCTTATTTTCTATTCAACTCACAGCAGCCATCTTGTACTCTATTGTACAGGCATTGGCAACAAAGAACTGGGTATAGTGTCTTATTATAATGGCTGTACTGAAAAAAAAATCGCCCAAGGAAACCTGTTATAAATAATTCCTTTGAAAACCCATAGTAGCCATTGTGGCCTCCGTCCCGAACACAATAAGCGCTAGGTATTTAGTTGAGACGATATTGAATAGGTTTGCCCCATAACGACAGGTTGACTGTGTTTGAAAGGGGTCACTTCTCTGCCTTCGTACCATAGTGAAAACCATTCCTATTGGGGTTTATGACGCCTCCGCTGTTTATTACTGAATCTACCCACTTGGCGTCCACAGTAACACTTATCGTGTAATTGTTGAATTGAACATTGCGGATAGATTGAGCGTCCACACCAATGCTAAGCCTTCCCTCTATCATACAGGTGCAAACATGTCTGCACCGTTTGCCTCAGCTCCTTTATTATTTACACTCTCTAGTCTGGTGCCCTTGGACTGAGCATATTGTACGTCTGCTCATTCTCATTGTTGTCGTCTGCTCATTCTCATTGTTGTCGTCATAAATCCGGCCACTCTAATTATACATGTTTGACCCATACATAACTCTTGTGAAGGGATATTGCCTTCAAGATTATTGCTGTGACAAGGATAAAAGCAAACCATACGAGTTCCACGCCTCTTCTTGGTCTGAATGAACTTGACTTAACTGCTTTGCTAATATTGAGCTTGAATTGTTTGCCATTAAAATTATTATTAAAAGACTCTTATAAGTTCAGTTATTGGTAGAGAAACATATCCGCCTAGAAACCTTTAATAATCTAGTACTTTATTGGCACTATTTGGGTGTTTACTGCCTGTTGTCTGGAGTCTTGATTTAACTGGAGTTATTCCTTCCCGTGGACAAGGTGATTGAAAGTAAAAAAAAACCTGTAATGAGTGATTGTTTCATTGAAATGTGAATTTTTGCTTTCAATTTTGTATAATCGTGATGTTTTGTTACAACTGCTCACCAATCTTAAATTTACTTGTCCGAAGTGGAAAACTTTATATCATGCAAATGAACCCATTATTATTGTATGAAAATTGGCAATGGTCATTTTACCAATGCTGCAATTTTTGATATCATTTTTACCTTACCCATAATGATATCATCAAAGATAATTGGGGAAAGGTATATTAAGAGAAAAATGTCTGTCTGCGTCGTTCTTGTCAGTGTCGGCGTCGTTGTTGTTGTTAATAATTGTTAATGTGTGCACAATAACTTTACTAATTCTGTTCTAAACTTTATCAAACTTGGTCCCCTAATTCATCAGTATAAAATCTTCCCCTAGTTCAAACGATAGATGTCCTATGTGAAAATATCATGCAAAAATTTGGAAAGTAGTAGTCAAAATCTGATAAAAAATGTTGACTGTTTCTACTTTTGGCCCCAATATAATCCTAAGATTTGTTTGTATTCAAATTTAATTATGACAATGCATATTCATATTTTAACAAACTATGATAAACAAAATAATATTATAAAACAAAGGAGAAGGTCACCAGAGTTAAACTATGTTACCTGAAACCTTGTATTGTATTTGCTTTTATCCTTGTGATGTGAATATTAATTTCGAGAAGAATATATTTGGACTGTAAATGTTTAAATTACACATATAGCTGTCTTGGTAGATAATTTATGGTATTCTACCAATAAACTCAGAGATAAGCAAATCAATTTGGAATATAGAGCTCTCTGGACAGCCGCAATAACAAAAATGTTGTGGTCCTGCCGTTTTCAGTTGTTTTTGATGTGCAGTAAATGCATTTTATAGAATAATTAAACTATTCTCAGAAATAGATGATTCTGTAATTTATTTAGTATCTATCAGAATTAACTTGTCTGCAGAATATTTAAAAGCTGCGCTTTTTAATCACGTGATATCAAGCCAAAATGACTTTTGTTGCATCAGATAAGTAAACTCTGGGGTAGAATGTTATGTTGGCAAAGAAATTTTTTTTGTTTAGCTATTTCCATGCTATTATTATAATAATGTACTATTACTCAACATATTGCAATGTGTTTACTTATTTGGCACCATAAAGGGAATTTTATATGACTCTGAGTATCACATAAACAAACATGCAGCTGATGTCGCTCAAAAGTAAATATGTAAAGCGGGTGAAATCACTTCGCTCATCCGCTGAAAAAAAGACATTAAAAGTATATTATTTATTCAACATCTCATAAAAGCTACAGAGCACACTGACACCTTTAATTAGTTAAGATTTTATTTATAGTCACAAATCCAAAGATTGAATCCAAATTCTTTACCTGTCTGTTTAGTTGTGTAATTATTCTACTCACTATCCAAGAGTTAAAGTTTTAATCTCTATACTTGTATTCAATCAATTGACTGACTGACTGAGGAAAATTATTACATTCTATTAAGCCTGGCATTTTTTCAACAAGGATTTTATTTCTGTTGGATACTCTTTTTATTCGGTCACTGTCTGTTTAATCTAGCGTGCATGCATAGTACCATGACCTTGATTTTATTTTTCTTGGTCGTACACTACCCATGCCAATGCCAGGTTGTTGGCATAGTAATGTAAACAAGTATGCTGGATGTACGATTAGACATTGTACTTCTGTATTCGGGCGCAGTCATGATCCCACTGCGTCATTGATTTGTTTACTGGTGCCTTGTGTACACTTCCTATCAAACATTGACAAAATCAGATTTTCTAAATTATGTCAATACTTCGCAACGTAAAATAGCTGTTTAAAATTCCAACTATTTGTGCATTTTTATCAATACTTTTTTTTTTGTGAGTTTACATTCCTACATGTATGTTTGGTCATGCTGTCACATTGTTGCTAGAAAAGTGTTTATAATAAATGTTGACTCTGCTTTTGATCTGTATGCTTTTAGACTGATAGATTTGCCTTTTAAGTGGTAGTGAACTCTATTCTTTAGGTAGACATTCATTACCTTAAGTTTGTCATCATATCAATAACAAGGGCTGGGTCCGGATGGGGCTTTGTTGTAGGGGGGTGTAACAAAGGCTGTGACCTTACAACAATCTCTCTGATTGCTTTATTTCATGTGTATTGAATGTGATGGTAAATGTTAAGTTTACGCTTAACATTTTTTTTGTTAAATCTTGAAAAGATAATTTGATACTATTTCAAAAAATATTGGAACACAACCCCCCCCCCCCCCAGAAATTAGCTAAAATTTAAATTTAAGCTCTTTTATATTGTTTCAGCTTTCCTACCCTCTTTTTGCTGACTTTTGTCATTTATTGCATTCCCAATCTATCATTAAAATCTGTTCTGGTGTTCACATCTTCAGTAAGGTGTGCAATTACCTTGACCCAGATTAACCTTGATCAAATCTACAAATCTAGTCAGGAAATAGGTCTAAATGGAGGAGTTATTTTTATTGCTTTCCATTTATTTATTAGCATTCTTTAAGATACTATGACGCCACAATAAAAAGGTATTCCCGTAAAAAAAACATGGTGGGTGTCCTTTGTTTGGTGAATGTCACCTTGACAAGATCTATTGAATTAAAATATATTATTGAAGTGTACACCGCTTATTGGCTGTATATAAATTGTTCATTGTGCTGCCTATTGTGATTGATTCTAGTTATTATTAATAACAGGAATTTATATAGATTCGCTTTGAAATATATTGTGTTTTTTCTTAGGTCACCGGGGACATGCAAAATTGTTTTAAAAAGGGGGGTTTTGAAAGAAAAAAAAAATTAGATTATTTTGTTCAATATTTGAAATATTATTATTTTCATAACTTATGAGATTAGTGGTACATTTATACACACCACTGTTTTCAGATTTGTAATATACCAAGTTCTTATTTTACAATCCAGAAATTGATGAATCTCAAAACCCAAACAATTGTACATGTATTAGACAGACATTATTTTTTTTTTTAA